CACACACACACACACACACACACACACACACACACACACACACACACCCCCCACACTGGAAATCTAGAGGATCTGAAACTTAGCTCTGCCCCCTGCCACCTGTATGACCTTAAGCGAGACACTTCCCCATTATGGGCCTGCATTTCCTCACATATGAAATTGAGGGGGGTTGGACAAGATGATCTCGAAAGTATCTTTCCAGCTCTAAACCTATGTTCCTGTGATCCTATCGCCCTAAATGACCATTTGCTGGCTCTTGTTTGATCCTCTCAATAACCCCTCAAAGTAAATACCAGGGTATTATGAAGCCCCATTTTGCAGATGAAGAAACTGAGGATGAGCGGTTGTATCATGCCCAGGGTCATAAAACTCTTAGTGCCTTTTAGTCATCTCTTAGACTTCTTTTTTTTTTTTTTGGCAAGGCAATCAGGGTTAAGTGACTTGCCCAGGATCACACAGCCAGGAGGTGTCAAGTGTCTGAAGCCTGATTTGAACTCAGATCCTCCTGACACCAGGGCCAGTGCTCTACCTACTGCACCACCTAGTTGCCTTCTCTTAGACATTCTTTCCCACCCCAAATTGGAGAAGAGGGAAGATTTCCTGGAAGATTTGCAGATTCAAAGACTTGAAACCTGGGTGTGGGGGAGGGTATTGTGGATCTCGACGAGGGCTGAGACACACATTTCTAGGCCCTCTACTGGGCAGTGGTAGAATCCAGTCCACACACTTGCCATTTCCAGTCTCTTGTCTGGTCCAGTTGCTAGCAACATGGCCTGACCGCTGGCCCAGGAAGAGAAGATGCAGGGAAACATTTCTCTCTGTTGTGGCTGCAGTCACCCACAGTTGGCAGACTCTTGGGGTTCATTGCTGAGCAAGGGTAAAGTTCAGCTATAGGACTCTACCAGTATGAAGCTTTAATAGACTCAGACCATCAGAGCTATAAAAAGGGCCTTAGGACAGAACACCAAATCTCAGAGTTGGAAAGAACCTTCAAGAGCATATAACCCAAAAGAGAGGCTAGGTACAGACTGCGGCTTCAGCTCCTGAGAATAAGCTAAGCTGGTAACAGGACCAAGGAGCTTGGCTCTCTTCCTTTCCAAGGATGGTCTCTCTCATAGCACAAGCCTACAGGGGCCTTCTGGGGGTTACTAGGGGGACACATCCTAGGACTCAAGATGGCCGGTGTCTCCAGGAGCCTGTGTTTCAGGGAAGGGATTTTTCCTGAAAGGAATCTCCCCCCATTCCAGATTCAGGTTCAAAGAGTTCTGCATCTCCTCACTTTGCTCTCCAGAGGGCCACACTCGACCCTAACACAGGTGAACTTCAGAGAGTAAGAGACACATTGCAAGAGTTACCTAAGTCCCATAGCAAAGTTTGGACCCAGGTCTTCTGAGATTCCAGTCTGGGACATTCTGTGGCCTTGTAGATGCCCCCAGAAGGCCCAAGACTAGAGGGAGCAGGGCTTTGTTAGGGAGGGGGATGATTTAATTAATTAGATGACAGCACAAAAGACAGACACAGCTGCCAGCTAGAGGCAGGTACAAAGGTATACTATGTTTGCTCCCCTAAGCAAACCCCTAGAGACCTCTAGTTCAGGAGTTCTTAATTTGGTGTCCATACACTTTTAATAAATAGTGATAACTGAATTTCAATAGAATTGGTTTCCTTTGAAATCCTATCTTTTGTACTTTTATGCATTTAAGAACATTACACTTAGAAAGGATCCATAGGTTTTAGACTGCCTAGGGATCCATGCCACAAAGAAGGTTAAGAACTCTGGATTTAATCCAACTTCTTCCTCTTACAAGGGAGGGAACCAGAGAAGGCAAATTACCTTCCCCAAGGTCACATCGTAAACTCTCTGTGCAGCTCTGGCCCTCCACTGAAATTTAGGCTAGAGACCTTAGGGTTCTTAACTTTAGAGAAAACTCCGTCCCCATTCTTACAAAAGAATCAATGAGATTGCCAGGATTGAGTCCTAGTGAAGGTTAACTCACTTAACCAAGGTTACTCAGCTAGTTGGTAACTGAGCTGAGATGAGAAGCCAGGTCCCCTGCTCTGTACATTAAACAAAGCTGCCACCCCACCCCAAAGTGGAATGACTTCAATTCCTTCCTCTCCTCTTGTTCCCAGGCCCCCAGCTCAGGCTTAGGTTATATTCTTATACTTACAATAAGTCCATGAACTCCAGGTGGGCCTGGGGCACCCAGCTCTCCCTAAAAGTGAGACAAAACCAACATAGTTAAGGGATGTCAAGGGATCACAGCACCAGTCCCACCCATATCTAGTGAATCAGGCACTTGGAGAGGGGATTACTATAGTAACACTAGCTCATACTCACCCATCGCTGTAAGTTTTGCAAAGCATTTGACATACATTGTGTCGTTTAGCTGTCACAATAACCCCTCTAGGTATGAATTAAGGGTATTAATAAACCCTGTTTTACAGATGAGGAAACTGAGGCTGAGAGGTTAAATGACTTGCCCAAGGTCACACAGCAAGAATCATCGCCAGTATTTGAACCCAGGATTCCCTTGACTTCAAATCTAGCACTCATTCTTTATAGAAGCCCTCACTGCCTCTCTAAACAAATGGTTTACTGGGGTTTCCCCATGGTTCTGCAGGCAAGTCAGTGGAAAGAGATGAAAATAGTATTCTGTGGCAAAAAAGAGGAAAATCAAAGAACAGCAGAGCAGGAAAAGAAAGTAAAATTAAGGAAGTGGGGGGGGGGCTTCCAATGGCCTGTATTTGCGATAAGACAAAGTTTTTATCCTGTCATTCAAGTTTTTTCACCTTCATCTGCCATTATTCTCACCCTACATTCACTTGAACCCTCTATACTAGCCAGGGTGGCCTCACTGTTCCACATATGTGCTATGTCTGTGCCTTTGTTCATGGCATCCCCTGAATCTCAAATACCTTTCTCTCTTTTGCCTCCCTAAACAAACTGGACCTACCCCACAAAGCACACAGCTCAAAACTCACACCAGCCATGCAGATTTCCTTGACCACAACCTTCCACAGGATACAGTTTTTCCACATAAGGCAAAGAGCCAGCTTGGCTGGCTGTGGGTACCCTCTGCCAGGGCCAACAGGGCAGTGGGTAGACCCCAGATTAAATCACGGAATCACAGACTGTCAGAACTGGGCTGGAGAACAGCAGAAGGCATTGCTTTCTTCCTGCCTGGGATTTTTCCTTACACCATAAACTCTATGCGTGGCTCTAGGCAACTAATCCCCCCCTCTCTCTGGGCCTCCATTGAAATTTAAACTAGAGACCTTAGGGTGCTTAGCTGCAGAGAAAACTCACCCTCTGTTCTCCCTAAAGAGTCAATGAGATTAAAGAATATAACAGAATCATGTTTTCAGCATCAGCACCTTCATGTCAGACAACAACAGGAAGGAAGTCAGACCGTTCACTCAAATCCCCTGCTTTGGAAGCCTGGTGGTGGTGGTGGGACGGGGTAGGAGGGGAGTTCCCTCGAGAGGGCAGGGAAGGCTGAAGGATAAACAAGCTTAGTCATGTCTGAGATTTCCAGGATCTCAGGATGTGCCTACCTTGTCTCTCATCCCTTATAAATTCCCTCATTAGTTGTCCCAACTGTGCTTGTAATCCCAGAACAGAGAAGAGAAGGAAATAAGCATTTAAAAAGTGCCCACTATGTGCCAGGCACTGGGCTAAGCCCTTTACAAATATTATCTCATTTGATCCTCACAGCAATTCTAGGAGGTAGGTGCATTACTATCCCATTTTACAGTTCAGGAAGCTGAGACAGAGAGAAATTAAGCGACTTGCCCAAGGTCACACAGCTACTAAGTCCAGAATTTGAGGCAGAATTTGAATTCAGGTCTTCCTTACTCCAGGGCCAGCATTCTATCCACAGTGTAATGACTATTAGACAAGGAATTAAGTGGTATGTGTATAATAAGCCTTGGTTCCATCACTACCTTACCAAGGGACATTGGACTTCATTTAGCCTTGGTTTCTTCAACCATAAAATGGATGTAAAACGCTTGCCCTGCCTACCTCACAAGGTTGTGGGGACTGAATGAAATAACAGGTGTAAACTGCTTTGAAAAATACAAAGGTGTCATACAAAGGTATGAATAATGCCAACACAAACAAAGAACAATGATTTTAATTTAGTTATCTTCGTCACCATATCCACCAGCTCTTCTGTGCATGAGCTAGACTGGAAAAAATCATTATTCTCATTGTATGAAAAGGAAGATTGAGGTTCACAAAAGTGAATTAACTTGCCCAGGATCACACACCTAGAATCAGGACTAGAATTCAAGTCTCTTGACTCTCAGCTCAATGCTCTATCACTGCATTATTCCATGGATATGAGAAGTTCCTTGTGGGGAGCTCCTCTAACAAAGCAAGATACTGGTTTTTTTTATTATTTATTATTAATTGACCCAACAAGGTACATTTTAGGGGTGCTAATTGTGATTCTTCATGTCAGACATATTACAGCTAATGATTAGTGGAGCTTTGTGGGAGATGGGAGAGGATAAACCAAAAGCCATCCCCCTCCACAATGGGCACAGCTGGGCACAGCTGTTTAGGACAGAAAGTGAAGCAGCATCTTTGTCTCACTGTCTCCTCAAGAAGGAATGGGGGAATGGTCAGTAAGTGTTGCAGCACATAGGCCCACGCTGATATCCTGACACTCCTCACCCCTCACAGCATCCAGCTCTGGAATCTCTTGGGTATTCAATCTGATCCAAAGCCCTAGGTTGCCTGTCCAAGGAACAGGAAGCTCTTGAAGAAGGGTCCCAGACCCTGGGGCAGAATGACCTGGCTCTGCGGTTAGTAATTCTGCAGCCAAAAATCCCAAACCAAACTTGAATATCTTCCTACACTTGGAGGATTCAAATTATTTGTAAACTCTATAAACAAGGGAGGATTTCCTTCCGACCCTCTTCTTCTTATAGAATGCGGTGAGTTCCCTATGGTTCAAGTGGCTGGAAGCATCTTGCTTCCATTCAAGACCCCCTGCTGGCCATAAATATTTAGAGAATGTTCCCAGGCAGCATGGGCCTCCCAGCTCAGTGAGCAACTACCATTCTCCCGTGCCCCCAGGTCCTCTGGCATGGAGATGCTTTTGGCTTTGCAGAGGCATGGACATCCTGGAGTCCAGGTAAGACTCTCTCAGAGGGCAAACCAGGAATTTGCCTATGGACCTAGAGGGACAAACCAATGTCCTCTCACACTCTACTCTCTTGGCAGGGAGGAAGCAGTGGGGGATGGAGCCCTAGGCACCCTTCACCTAGCCTTCTCTCTGGTCAGTGATAGGTCAACCCCAGTGAAGCCATTTGGTTTTTCCAGCCTAAAAGAGACCTTGGAGATCATATAATCCAATCGCCTTCAATGAACAGAGAAGGAAACAGGCCTAGAAAGGGAAATGATTCGCTCAGCATCACACAGGGAATGACAGCTAGGAATCTAGACCTTCTTGTCTTGTCTCTTGAACCACTGATTCTTCTACTGCTGCCTCTCATATCCCTAGCTGATACAGTAGATAGAATGCTGACCATGGAATCAAGAAGAACGGAATTCAATTCCTGCCTCAGATACCTACTAGTTGTGTGACCCTGGGCAAGTCACTTAACTTTTATCTGCCTCAATTTCCTCAATTGTAAAATGGGGATAATAATAGCTCCTACCTCTCAGGGTTGTTTTGAGGATCAAATGAGATATTTGTAAAGTGCTTAACATAGTGTCTGGCACATAGTAGGCACTTAAAAATATTTGTTCACTTCCCTTCCTTTGAACTGATGATATCCTTAATGGGATAGACAAGACTTCCAAGGCAGGTACACAAAACCTGCAGGGAAAGGCTTTAATTCTTTCCCAATTCCCAAGTCTCTTTCGGCTCACGGATGTACCAGAGGCTATAATCAGACCATATGCCATAGAAACTTTCGTTAATAGTAATTTACCCAATTTGGGGCTGGGCCCCAAGATGAATGGAAATGAATAGAGGAGAAAGACTCACAGGCTAGGGAACAGGGAGATACAAACACCTTGGGTCTGCTTCTTAGATTCTAAATTGAACAGTGGGGAATTAGCAGTACATGGCAGAGTGACTTCAAATCGATAAATATGCTTCTCTCCTTGGCCTCCCTGATCCAGTTCACCTCCCCTCCATAATCAACTCCACCCCTCCCCTCCATCTCAGACTTGACGTTCTTTTTACGTCGTATCCAAACACTTACAGGGTTGCCATCCAATCCGGGGGGGCCTCTTTCCCCAAAATCACCAGGAAATCCCTAAAAAGATGAGAGAAAGAGGAATATTGAGTCAAAACATGAACATGGACCATTGGCATCACTCCAGATCTGGTCAACACAGTGTCCTAGCCAGGGCAAGGAGTAGCCGCGGACAAATTGCAGCACAAGGATGAGCTCCCATTTTATTCCCACTCCTTTATTCCAAAGGTTAGAGTGCATCATCTCATCCTCCCCCAAGGAGGCAATGCTATTTATAGATTTCAGAGAATTTCAGAACTTCGTCATAACGCAAAGAACATAAGATCCAGAGTCAGTGGACCTGGGTTCAAACCCCAGGCCTTCTTCTTACTACCTGTACAACCTTAGACAAGCCACTTAACTTGGTTTCCTCATCTATAAGTAGGAACGGATTAGCCTAGGCATTTTTTAAAGCCCTTTCAGTTCTAAATCTGTAATCTGGTGATCCTACGAAGTTAAAAGAGCCTGAGAGGTCAACTAATCCAACCCTCGAATTTTTTTTCCATTAAATTTTTAAAAATTTAATATTTTATTTTCCCAATTGCATGTAAAAACATTTTTTACCATTTTTTAAAAAACTTCTGAATTCCAAATTCTCTCCTTCCCTTCCTTTCCCCCTCATTGAGAAGGTAAGCAATCTGATAAAGACCACCTTCTAATTTTACAAACGAGGAAGCCAAGACACAGAAGGAAAATGACCTGCCTAAGGTCATACAACTGGTTAACAGTAGAGCTGGGTCTAGAACCCAGATCGCCTGACTACCAGTCCAGAGCTTTAAGAATTTAATTTTAAACCTTAGGTCATATACAAAGAAATCTGGGGACTCATAGGCTCACAGATTTAAAGCTGGAATGGATCTTGAGGCCATTAAGTTCAATCACCTCATTTTATAGATGAGGAAACTAAGATCTGGATAGGTTGTCAGTGATGTCAGACTTAAATAGAAAGGGGGTTACAACATGGTACACAAGGATCTCTGACTTGGAAAACCACAAATTAACACTATCTATGTTTTATTTTATATTTATTTCTTTTGTTAAATACTTCCCAATTATATTTTAATCTGGTTTCCCACACTCAGGAGTGTTATGGGCTGCATGTTTGATACTTCTGGGTTAAATGACTCGCCCAAGGTCACGGCGCACAGAATCTGGCAGAATCTGAATCCATACCATCTGACTCCAGAGAGACTGATCTTTCTACTGCCTGTTCTCACAGGAGGTCTCATTAATTTAATACTGATACATCCTGGGCACTAAGCCCAGGCTTATAAGACCCTAAGACATGTGTATGAAGTGTGTCAAGAAGGAAAATTTGCTCACCAAGGAAGCTCTGGAGTTCAGGGGCATTGCCAAGGCGGGGAGGTCTTGGCTCTGTCAAGCCAAGCCCCATGTCCCTGAATTAGGGCTTCTTCTACTCTATGGAAAAAAGCCAGGCCTTTGAACCAAGGGGACCATGCCAAACATGGGAAGCCCCACTGCAGCGCCGAGACAATTTCCTTCTGACTTCAAAAGGGAGACAGAAGACCAGTTTGGGGCTAAGCGAAACCCAGTATTTTCCCCTTCTTGAATTTAAACCATTGTTTTCCAGGGGAAATTTAATAAAAAACAAACCACATGTTTTTCTGACTAAGTAAAAGCCTGAACTACTGAAACAATAAAGGTTCATGTTGGAGAATAATTCAGACCCTGGTTTCTAGGGCTACTAGAGAAATAAAATAAATACATTAAACCCAAACTTTTAAGAGGACTGAGCATGGAAGAACCAAGAACTTGAAACATTTGCAATTCTGTGCTGTCCAATTTCCCCTCAACCAAACTCATTTCAGCTTCAACTGAAATCCCTCCTCCTTTAGGGCCCTGTCTGGGATCAATGGAGGGGGATTGGGATGAAATTCACACCCCATAACTAATATTCCAACTGCCTCCCAAGTGCCCTGCAAAAAATGGAAGCTATAAGAAAGGATGGCACCAAAACTCTGCTCATGGTTATCACATAAGTACCAATCACCACCAATCGCTGAGGATAGAAGAGCATTCTGGCGTTTGCAAACATTAAATGCACTGGACTCTGCCTTAGATAGTGGAAAAGGAATCCAGAAGAAGTCCTTCAGACATGGGAAGAAAAGCAATTAGCAAATGTGAAGCTACACTCAAAAAAAAAGCACTAAATTGAACATAGGCAAAGATCCAGCAATACCCCCAATGAGGTCAAAGATAGCAAGAAGAGTCCTATGTATACAGAAATATTGCAGCACTTTTCATAATAGCAAAAAATTAGAAGGAAAGTGGGTGTGCAATGGTTGGGCAATGCTTGGACAAGTTGTAGTATATGGATATAATGGAATGTTATTGTGCCATGTGGTTGTTGAGTTGTTTTTCAGTAGTGTCTGACTCTTCATGACCCCATGTGGGGTTTTCTTGGCAGAGATACTATAATGGTTTGCCTTTTCCTGCTCCAGCTCATTTTACAGATGAGGAAACTAAGGCAAACAGGATTAAGTGACTTGCCTAGGGTCACACAGCTAGTAAGTGTCTGAGGCTAGATTTGAACTCAGGAAGAGAAATCTTCCTGACTCCAGGCCCAGCACTCTATGCACTATGATACCACCTGGCTGTCCCATTATTGTGCCATAAGAAATAACAAACATGAAGAATTCAGAGAATCTTGGGAAGATTTGTATGAACTGAAGAAGAGAGAGAAAAGAAGAAACTAGGAAAACAATTTATATAATGACCATAAAAATGCAAAGGAAAATAATTTTGGAAGACTTCAGAACTGTAATGAATGCTTAAATTAGTTATAATAATAATACAACCAGGTCCCTTTTAGATCAAATAATGAATCCCCTGAAGTGGTCATATGCATACAAATTTGCACTATTTGAAGTTATAATTATTTCAGATATGATTACTGGTTCCAACCTAATAGAAATATGCAGACCATATTTCCTAGCTGTAACAACAACCAATAACAACAACAACAACCAGCATTTATATATTGCTTTAAGTGTTACAATGCATTTTACAAATATTATCTTGCTTTACCCTCACAACAACCCTGGGAGGTAGGTGCCATTATTCTCCCCATTTTGCAGACAAGGAAACTGCAGGAGACAGAGGAGAACTGATGTGCCTTAGGTCATAGCTATTAAGAATTTGAGGCAGGATTTGAACTCAGGTCATCCTGACTCCAGATCTAGCATTTTATCTGTGTCAAGTGAGTCTCCGTGTACCGGCAAAGAGGTGGTGGATAGTAGGTGAGGAATAAGGCTTACATTTTCAGACTTGGTCAATGTGTTGATTTGTTTTTCTTGACTCTACTCACTAATTTGGGACAAAAGAAGGGTTCCACTTTGGGAGGGCAGGCAGAGGGTCACTGTGAAGTGATAGTGACTTTTTAAAAAAACATAATGGACTTTTTTTTAAATTATAGAAAGCACACCATGACTGATTCAACCCTGGCCCCAACTCATCCCATTTCAGGTTCTTTCTCTCTCCCTCATTTTATGTCCTAAGGAGGCAACAAGGTCTAGTGGTAAGAGCATTTGATTTTAAGTTAAAGGACTTGGGTTCAAATCTAGGCCTTGCTACTTACTATGAGACCTTCCCTTTTCTAAGCCTCAGTTTCCTTATCCTTATTCCTTATGGTTGGAATAGATGTTCTCTTAAGTTTCCTTCCAGCTTTCAATTGATGATACTTTGAACCCTGCATCTATATTATCTCTAAGTCCCATAGGGACTTGGGAACTTGAGTTCAAATCATAGCTTGTGCCACTAGTTAGCTGTGGGACCTTAGTTAAATTGGTCACCTCTCTGTGCCTCAGTTTCCTCATCTGAAAATAAAAGGTGGCATAGTATAGTATAGAAAAAATACTGTCTATGGAATCAGAGGACCTGAGTCAAAATCTGGTCTCCGACCCTTACTACCTAACTTCTTCCTCAGCTGTAAAATGGTGTGGTTTGATTTATTGGCCTCTAAAGTCCGTTCCAGTCAATTATTTGAAGTTGGTGGACAGGTTAAGCTTTAGAGCCTATCTATCTAAATTCAAGATTTTAGGGTCTCTCTGGTTCAGTTAGGTAACTACCTCTTCCCGAGGCTAAGCCCAGTCCCAAAGCCGGTGTGGAGGGAGGGAGGGAGAGAGAAAAGGCCATGGCATTACCTCCCTGAATCAGCTCTGGGAATCTGGAGGAAAGTGAAAGGACAGCCTCATTCGGTGTGGGGTCAGCCCTCTTCTGACGTGGGGCTGGCAGGCACTGAAAGAATTATGAATGGGCTCCTGGGGGAGGTGCCGCGGCAGGAACACTGGTGTTGGCACTCCTAACAGGCCTCTTTCTCCTGCGGCAGCTCAGGTTATGCCCCGTTGGGTCCCTCTGGCCTTCAGGGATAGAATGAGCCTGTCAGCAGTTCTCCCTGAGGATAGGCTGGGCTGTGGGAGGACGGGGGCAAAGCTACTGCCCCATGCCCTTCCTGGTTTCAGGTTCCTGCTGTGCTTGGGGTGATGGTCCTCCGTGTGTCCAAGGGGGTTTGGGATACACAAAGCAGAAAGGTGACAGAAGGAAAAAGGACCACCAAAGGACCACCACCTCCACCAAAGTCTGGCAGGTGTGACCATTGTCAATCTCACAACCCACTGAGTAGTCAAAGTCCCTACTAAAAATCCCACCTTCTACAAGAAGGCTTTCCTGATTCCCCTTAATGCTAATGCCTTCCCTTGGTTGATTATTTTCAATTTATTCTTAAACTTATATATCATGCTGCTATATAAGTACTTGCATGTTATCTCCCTCATTTGACTGTGAGCTCCTTGAGAGCAGGGACTGTCTTTTGCATTTATTTGTAGTCCCAGTGCTCGGCACATAGTAGGTGTTTAATAAATTCTTATTGACTGCCCATCTGCCTGGTTCTGTTTTGGAAATGCTGTTCTCCATCTGACTTCCTTCTTCCCCTGTAAAATTTCCTACTGTCTCTGGGACAAGACACAAAGTCAATAAGCATCAAAGTTGGATGAGACCTTAGA